CATTTATCCATTTCTCATCAACTGTCCTTCAGTCCTCTTGGCTTCTTTACTCTTTCTAAAAGATGCCAGACATTGTCCTTCAGTAGAGCCTGGTTCACTGGCTCTTCCCTCTTTCCCCAAGTATTTACATGGCTTTTAGACATCATCAGATCTCTGCTGAAAATGCCACTGCCTTGGAGAGGCCCCTCCCAACCACTCATTAGTATTGCAACCCCTTCTCTCATGAATTCTTTCCACCTTCACTGCTTTACTTTTCCTCAGTTCATTTATCATTGTCTCTCATATAATTTAATTTTTTACTGTCTGTTTTCTCCCTATAAAATGTAAGCTCCAGGAGGGCAGTTTCCCCCCTTATACTTTTGTTCATTGTTTTATTCTTGGCTTCTGAAACAGTTCTTGAATATATAGTGGGTTCTCAGTATATAAATGTTGAATGAATGAATGAGAAATACCTACTTATTTTTTACGATTCAGAGCACATGTCACTTATTTAGGATTTTCACTGAAGGGCAGAGACTATCTTTATCTTATTCATTGCTATATTCCTAGTATCCAGTAAATATTTGGTATACTCAGTTAATAATTGTCAAATGAGTAAATTAAACTGGAATGGCTTCAGAGAGAACCATACATAGACCCCAAATGTAGAGAGGTTGGTTAGGTAGGAGTCCTAGGCAGGTACAGCATTAACAAGATGTAAACGTAGGCACTGCTTCCTGGATGGAGGGGGTGGAGCAAGAAGAGTGACCTGAATGAAGCATAGAGAGCCAGTTAAGGAGTGTGGGGCACGGTGCTTTTTAGGAATGTGGGACCAGGTTGTGGAGGGCATTGCGATAATAATAACTTACTAAACCTCCATAGCTTAAAAAGGTTGATGCTAATATAATCCTAATGTTATAGGCCCAGAATGATGAACTTCTCCAAGTGCTCAAGACAGGTCTGAAGCTCAAGTGTTCTAATTTAAGAGCCTCCATCCTTAACTACTATGATATACTGCTGGGCAAAGTACTTTAAACATACCAGTGGTGGATCTTAAGAGTGTTGCAGGTCATTGGATAGATACTACTGTCTTTTAACTTCTTTTTAACTGTTATAGTTTTTAAGTATTTCAGTGTCTCAAATGAATAGTCAAGAAAAAATAAGTCTTTTCAGGTTGTTTTGTATTTGATCATTCCCCAGCATTTGACCATTTTTGACCACCACATTCTTCTTTTTCAAAATTCTGTCCTTGGCTTCTGTTACACTATATCTCCTACCTTCACTTTCTTCCTACTTCTGTGTCCCAGGTTCCTTTGCAGGCTCCTGTCTATGAGTTTATGAACTTACAAGTATTCATCAGTGTTCTAGCCCTCTAGGCCTTCTATTTTTCTCACCCTATTTACTCTTCTTGAGCAATTTTATCCATTCCTGTGCAGTGAACAAACAACTATGTGCTGACAATTCCCAGATCTGTAGTTTTTCTTCCCTACACCTCTGTCATTAGGTATATATGTAAATGTCACTTAGACATCTCACTCTCCAAAGATGTTTTGAAATGGATGTTTTGAAAGTACATTAGAGTTAACCCATTTAAAAATGAACTCCCCAAGGCAATCTACAGATTTGATGCAATCCCTATCCAATTACCAAAGGCGTTTTTCACAGAACTAGATAAAAAAAAAAAAAAAAACTTAAAATTTCTGTGGAGACACAAAAGATCCTGATAGCCAAAGCAATCTTGAGAAAGAAAAATGGAGCTGGAGGAATCAGGCTTCCTGACTTCAGACTATACTACAAAGCTACAGTTATCAAAACAGTATGGTACTGGCACAAAACAGAAATATAGATCAGTGGAACAGGATAGAAAGCCCAGAAATAAACCCATGTACCTATGGCCAGTTAATCTACAACAAGGAGGCAAGACTATACAATGAGAAAAGACAGTCTCTTCAATAAATGGTGCTGGGAAAACCAGACAGCTACATGTAAAAAAATGAAACTAGAACATTCTTTAACACCATACACAAAAAAAATCTCAAAATGGATTAAAGACCTAAATGTAAGACTGGATACTATAAGAGGAAAACATAGGCAGAACACTCTTCGACATAAATTGCAGCAATATCTTTTTGGATCCACCTCCTAGAGTAATGGAAATAAAAACAAAAATTAAAAATGGGACCTAATTAAACTCAAAAGCTTTTGCATAGCAAAGAAACCACAAAACGAAAAGACAACCCACAGAATGGGAGAAAATATTCACAAACAATGCAACCAAAAAGGGATTAGTCTCCAAAATTTACAAACAGCTCATGTGACTCAATATCCAAAAAGCAAACAACCCAATCAAAAAATGGGCAGAAGACCTAAATAGACATTTCTCCAAAGAAGACATACAGATGGCCAAGAGGCACATGAAAAACTGCTCAACATCACTAATCATTAGAGAAATGCAAATCAAAACTACAGTGAGATATCACCTCACACCAGTCAGAATGGCCATCATCAAAAAGTCTACAAACAATAAATGCTAGAGAGGGTGTGGAGAAAAGGGAACCCTCTTGCACTGCTGGTGGGAATGTAAATTGGTACAGCCACTATGGAGAACAGTAGGGAGGTTCCTTAAAAAACTAAAAATAGAGCTACCATGTGATCCAGTAATCCCACTCCTGGACATATATCTAGAGAAAAACATGGTTCAAAAGGATACATGCACCCAATGTTCATTGCATCACTGTTTACAATAGCCAAGATGTGGAAGCAACTTAAATGTCCATCAACATAGGAATGCATAAAGAAGATGTGGTACATATATACAATGGAATATTACTCAGCCATTAAAAAGAATGAAATAATGCCATTTGCAGCAACAAGGGTGGACCTGGAGATTATCATACTAAGTCAGACAGATAAAGACAAATATCATATGATATCACTTATATGCAGAATCTAAAAAAAAATGACACAAATGAACTTATTTTCAAAACAGGAACCGACTCGTAGACTTCAAAATAAACTTATGGTTACCAGGGGGGAAGAGTGGAGGGGACAGATTGGGAATTTGGGATTGACATGTACACACTGCTATTTTTAAAACAGATAACAAGCAAGGACCTACTGTAAAAATAATAATAATTAAAACAGAGGGAGCTCCAAATCTTTGTTACCTTCTTCCCTTTCACCCTTAACATGCTTCTGCCTTATTCTGTATCTCATTGGGTGTCACCACTAACTACACACTGTTGCTCAAATCAGAAACCCAGAGGTTAACTTTGACTATTTTCTATCAGATCAATCATTCACCGAAGTCTGTTGATTCACCGAAGTCTGTTGATTCCATCTCTTAAATATTTCTCCTATTTGTCCAGATCTCTCAATTCTGTCACTACCATGGAATTGGCCACTATAGTCTCTCAAGCGTTTTTATGCATCAGCCTCCAAACTGATTTCTCTGCCTCAAGTTATACTTTTCTCCAGTCTATTCTCCATACTGTGACTAGTACCATCCTTCTAAAATACAGACTTGATCATGCATTATTTTTCCACCATAGTTGGAAATAGGAATATCAAGTGAAGCACTAGAAGGCAGAGAAGGAATAGGCAGACAGGTAAAAGTAAAACCAGAAATACATACAGTTTCAGTGCTGATTTAGTGACTATGAGGGTTACGTCCCCAAAATGATAGAACTCTAGTATTAGGGAGCATCTACTAAAAACAAAAATGTCACTTGCTCATACTAGAAATGTGTTTATTCACTAGATATATCTTTTCCTGGATTTTAAAATATACTCTGCCTTTCACACTACTATATTATAATCGATCTACAGAATAATCAACTTTAATATATTCTCTAAATCACTGACATGATACTCCTATAAATTAGATATACAATTTATTTTTCTCACATAACAATTTCACATTTTTAAATGACTTTTTAGGTGGTGCGTCATTCTCTGTTTCACTTCGGGCCTAAATTCTAATGTACCTTCTAAGTTTAAAGTGCAAATATTTTGTAAAATCTTGACTTTCAGGAAATACCTCAATCTACGCAAAGTCTGTGTACAAGTCAAATCTGACTTTTAAGAAGTTTCAGTTTATTTCAGAGTTATTCTCAAGAAAGTGTGGAAAGGATTCAGATTAATCTCTATAATCCTGTTATATCATTTTTATTTTCTTTTGAAATATTGTGGTTCCCAAGAAGTTATGAAACAGAGTTCAGATTTATTATCTGGGTTTAAAAATCCTCCATTAATTTGCCTCATCCTAATTTTCCCCTTTTGTATCCTCGTTTCTCCTTTAAAAATTGTGCAAATCTTGTATGTTTAGATCCCCAGTCACACATTGCTCATTCTGACCTTGAACCTTTGTTGATATAGCTACCTACCAGAGGTGGGCAGTTCAAATAAAGAGTGAGCTGGGCAAGTTCTGAGACAGTAGGAAGTGTTTTAACCTGAAGACATATTTCAGTCTAAAGATGTCCATGTTTGTAAATTTAAGCATGTATGATTTAAACAAAACATGCTTACATATAAGTTATAGTGATTGACTGTGACCTCTGGTTCATACTGTTTCCTCCCCCACCATCTCTGTAATGTCTCGGATCTTTAAGATTAGTTTTCCAAATGCAGCCTTTTTTGCTAGATCTAGCAGGAATATGGCTTCTGTGACTTATTCCTGGCTATATCTAAAATATCATGTTTTACCTGTACTTCTGACTAGCTCTAGTTAGGACATATCAGATTATCAGTCACCATGCCAGATGCTTTACATATGTTACCCAATTTAATCATTAACGTATGTCATCAGCGTAGTTGGTATCTCCAGTTTATAGATATCAAATCTGACAAGCAGAAGAAAAGTAACTTACTGAAGGCCCCATAGTTAGTAAATGAAAATGATTTTAGTGGATGAGCTGTTACATGATATTTGAAAGATAGTTTCATGACCATTTTTTTTAAAGAATGCAGTATTCTCTTATTTTTTTGTTTACATGTTATAATATTGTACCCTGTTTTTTCAGTGTATAGTCTTTGCTATGACTTCTGGCCAGATGTGGAATCATATCCGTGGACCACCATATGCTCATAAAAACCCGCACAATGGACAAGTGGTAAGTGCATGTTCTGTGCATCAGTATTATGAACTTTAATCCTGTTTACATAGGAATCCGAAATTGTTTAGCATTTAGTAAGAAAGGATTCTATTTGTAAATCGAAATATATGTTCTTTCTCTTATTTACTACCTTCACCATGTACATACACACAACATGCACATATATATATATTTTTTTAGGGTGAGGACTGCTTTAGCGTGGATTAAAAAAAATTCAGTGTACCTACTTATCAAATATATACACATAAATTATTTTTTCAACTTTGTAGACTGCTATGGCAATAATATGTAATGCCAAAAGAGGAAATAGGAACAGTCTGTAGCGAGTGTCCCAGCAATGATAAATTTAATTTAGTTCAGAAGATCATTAAGAACCCTGAAGTCATTGTATTAGGATGCCAGGAACTGTTTGCCGGAAAATTGAAAGTGAAATTGGTGTGTAGTTAAATCAGTAGCAAAATTTACATTAGTAACTGCTACTGTTTTGCTGCCTTCCCTTTCTTTTGGTGGGTAGGAAATATTGTCATAGATCAACTTTGCAGAATACTGTCTTTGAGGCTTAGTATTAGGTTGGTGAAGATTACTGTTTTAAAATGTGCCTTTTTTCTCTAGCTTTTTCTTTATACAGATTTTGAGGGAAGAATATAATGACACCCCTCGTGCACTCATCACCAAACTTAATTACCAGTTCATAACCAATCTTGTTTCGATTCTCCCATCCAGTTCTCTTTGCCGCTGTTGGATTCTTTTGAAATAACTGCCCAATATCATTTCATTTCAAACATAAATATTTCAGTAGGTACCTCTAAAAGATGAGGTTTTCTTAAAAAATCATAACCACAGTACCAGAATCACACCTAAACTGGTAATAAATTCTTAATTTCTGAATATTGTGGCTCTGAATGGAATAAAGTTATCCCATGGCCAGTCATGTTATAATTTCTCTATAAATATAAATGTATAATGTAAGCTTATGAGGTTTGTTCTTCATTGATTACAGTACTTCAAATACCTTTAATATTTAAAAATCTAACAAGTTATTTCTTCTTCCTAAATTGTTTGTGACTTTCTTCGAACTTCTTTGTGGAACTGTAATATAGGGGTATAGTTCACTTTACTTACTGTATGTACCCTGATGGCTCAATTAGATTTTAAGGGCTGGTTGCTAGTTACAGTCACTGATACTATATTATAACCATTTTGGTCTCATATTTTTGTCAGCATTTTCAGATTTCTTCTATAGGTGTCAAGAATATGGAGTCAAAGTTAGACTCTGGATAATCAGATGCTGTAGTAAATCAGACATGTCTTCTGTTACGTGTACTCTGTATTTTTAAAATCTGTCACTAATTAGAAAAGTGATTTGAATGTCTAATACTCAAAATTAATTTTACAGAAAAAATAATTGGAAGTAATTATCAAGCAATAAATTGTCTCCTTATCTTCAAGTCTTACCGACCATCCTATTTAAAAGTGTAGTCCTTTTCTCTCATCCTCTTCCCCAATACCCATACTCACTGTCTTCCTTTCCTTTTTAAATTTTTTCCCCATAGCACTTATAACACGTTATATAATTTACTTATTTTGTGTTATTGTTTGTCTTTTGCCAGGACCCCAGGAGGGTATAAGCACTTGACAGCATGGCTTTTTATCCACTTTGATCCCTGATATGTTCCTATTTCATAAAGAGGGCCTGACACAAAGATTTGATCACTATTGTGTTAATGATACTTAAAAGTGTAAATTTTGGAAATTGATAAAATTTTTATTACTGCCTTTTAATATTCTTATAACATTTCTTAGGCAAATAAACATATTAAGCATGCTTTTTATTATTTGCTTAAATACATTTGTTAAAGTATATGAAAAATTCATCAACATTCTTGTGAAATGTTTTAGCTTATGTAGAGGAAGAAAATATAATTTTCCCTCTACTGTTCTGAGTCTTTGGCTGAGGCCCCTGTAACAAAAGACAGAACAACAAGAGAAAAACAAACAAAGTGATTAACATGTATACCTCATGTATGCATGGGAGATAGGGAAAAATGAATAACTCTCAGAGGTGGCTTAGAGCTCAGGCTTAAGTGCCATCTTCAGTTATAGACAGAAGAAAGGTATTGAGGGAAAGCCAGTTGTGGAAGTGACCAGGAAAAGTAAGATAAGCAAAAGTGAGGTGTAGTGTGCAGATTTAAGTTCGCAGTTGCCTTCTCCATTGATAAGGATCTAAAGTTGTCTCCAAGGATTGTCTCTACCTGTAGATTGTCTCTACCTATGTCCTTGCTGGTAGAGAAAGGAGGAGGGACACCGTTGTGAATTTATGTCCTGCTTTTAGGCAGATTGGGGAAGGCAGAGAACTTTTCTAGTATCTGCTTCTTCTCAGTGCCTTCAGCTTAAAATAATTCTTAGGCCAAAGTGGCATATTTTAAAGTGTTGTATTCTGTCACTCTTCATTCTCACTGTAATCTTCTTACCATTTCAACCATTACTTTGCTAAATCACCCCTCACACGTCATTTACTGGAGTAAGCGCCAAAAAAATTTGCACTGATTACAGTAACAGTGACAACGTAGATGCCATCTGTTGCTCACTGAATATATGCTAGGCACTAGACTTCACAAATGAGTATTTTAGGCCACTAGATAAATATTCCTAAAGCATACTTTGACTATAGTGATAATACGTGTGGACCAGAGTTATCAGTTAAATTGGAAATCCTAAGTGGCTCTCCATTACTTGCCCATCGTAATTTTCCTTTTCAGCCTAGGACCTCTACTCCTTTGCAGAGAAACTCAGTGTTAGTGTATTTGTACTGTCCCTTGTCCCCTAAATATATGCTTTATTTTGCTGCTTCCATTTCTGGAATTTCTATCAAATCATGCCCATCCTTCAAATACCACCTAATTTGCCATCCTTCTGAAATGCATTCCTTAATTACGTTAGAAATTCTTCTTCCCTTTACACATTTATAAATATGTAGTTAGCCCATTTATGTATCTCTGCATTCCTTTATAATAATAATTTTTAATATTTCATGTATTAGTCAAATTCTTAACATAGGAAGTTTCTTTTAAGCTATTTTTCATCTTTACACTTACATACAGCTGGTCCTCAATGAATGTTTTATTAAATGATTATAAAGACTCACACTAGGAGATTTTGGTTTCTTGAATTGTATTATCTTAATTCTTTCCATTTATTTTTTGTCACTAGTCTGAATGATAATAGGATCAACATGTCACTGTTAATTCCGCATAAACCAGTTAGTAACCTTAATGTGACAGGAACACTTATTTTAAGGTTTAGATTCGATTGGAAAGAAATTTTCTCTATTGATTTAGAAAATGTTTTATCTGCCCCCTCCACATTGTTGCATTACTATTTTGTAGGCAGAGATTGGCATGGCCCTTAGGAAAAGGTACTGTTATGGCCCAGAGGAACACATTAAGAAAACAGAATTTTCTATCTATCTATATATATATTTTGTTGTTGTTGTTGTTGTTGTTCTTTTGCGGTTCGCGGGCCTCCCAATGCTGTGGCCTCTCCCGCTGCGGAGCACAGGCTCCGGACGCGCAGGCTCAGCGGCCATGGCTCACGGGCCCACCCGCTCTGCGGCCTGTGGGATCCTCCTGGACTGGGGCACGAACCCACGCCCCCCCGCATCGGCAGGCGGACCCCCAACCACTGCGCCACCAGGGAAGCCCGAATTTTCTATATTTTTAAAAGAAAAAAACTTTTCCTTCATATGTGCATCTAGCTTTCAGGGTACGTATTTTAGCTTTTCAGCACCTTAATCAAAAGTTACAGAAATGATGAAACTGAAACTTATAACCAAGTTGTTTAAAGAAATGAATTTTGTCCCAAACTCTTCACCCTCATATTTTATAAAAACATTTTTTCTTATATTTGAATAAAGTATTAGGATTGAAGGAAAAAAAATCACAAAAGTCTTGGAAATATAGGAGCTTCTTGCTGCACAGTCAATTGCTTGAGTGTGCTCTTGGCCAGAGATGTGGATATGGTTTTGGACTGATCTGAGATGTTAATTACTAAGATGTTACTTACTAAGCAGTATAGCCGAAAGCAGGTTAAAGGGGCAGAAGAATGTTGCCCATTAGTATATAGCTCTTTTCTTGTTTTGCATTTTAACATATTTTAGCAAAACTTCCCTTCCTGCTTTTTAATATGCATAATGTCAACATACACTAAAACAGAGAATTGTTTTTGTTTTAATGAATTGATTTGCATAATAATGTGTTTTCATATTACTGGAACAAAATAGAAGATTAACTTTGCTTTATAAAGTCAAGTGGTTACTGGTACAGAATTATACTTTAAACAATGACTGTCCATTAGAATAATAATAGTGAATGGTTTTCTTTATAATAGATGTGTTTAAATTTCAAGATATAACTTGAAAATTAGCACTATCCTTCTTTGGTAATTTCTTCATATTTTAACCTGTATTTCTAAAAAGAAATTACCATGTAGAATTTGTGTTTTTGAGAATAACTATAATTAGGCTATTTATCTCTTTCAGTGGTATGGAATAAAATGACAAAGTGAGTATCTTATGAATATTTATAAAGGAATTTTATAATTTGGCATTAATTCTTGATGACCAATGCACATTTAGTGGAGTAAAGGTATATGAAACAGTAAGTTTACTGTGGTTTTCATATTTGTAACATAATTGAATAACCATTTAAAGACTTATTTTTAGGTAGCTATTACACATAAATATCAGCTAACTGAATTCTAATTTTTGTTCATTTTTTCTAAATTAATTTTTAAAATATGTTTGGCTTCAACTATTTGATTTGTTTCTTATGGTATAAGAAATTTCTATTAAAATTGTTTATGAAGAATTATTTCAATGTTAAAGTGAACTTAACTTTGTAAATACTTTAAAATTGTACTATGAAGGTCTGTATGGTTTCCAGAAATAGTTGGGTTGTTCCCCCCCGCCCCTGCTTTTCCTGAAGTTGGTTTCTAAATAG